GAATTACAGGTGCCCACCACCACGCCCAGCTAATTTTTTGTATTTTTAGTAGAGAGGGGATTTCACTGTGTTGGTCAGTCTGCTCTTGAACTCCTGACCTCAGGTGGTCCACCCACCTTGGCCTCCCAAAGTGTTGGGATTACAGGTGTGAGCCACGGCGCCCAGCCCCATTTATTTATTTATTTATTTATTTATTTATTTATTTATTTATTTATTTATTTAGAGTGGGAGTCTCACTCTGTCGCTCAGGCCGGAGTGCTCACAGCTCACTGTAACCTCCAACTCCTGAGCTGAAGGGATCCTCCCACCCAAGTCTTCTGAATAGCTGGGACTAGCGTGCCCAGGTAATTTTTTTTTTCATTGTTTTAGAGATGTGGTCTTGCTATGTTGCCCAAAGTGGTCTTGAATACTTGGCCTCCAATAATCCTCCTGCCTCAGCCTCCTGAGTTACTGGGATTATAGGCACATGCTGCTGTGCCTGGCATTATTTTTCATGTGTATTTCACTCTTCCCCCACTGTTACACTTCATGAGAGCAGCAATTGTCTATTTTATTCATGTTCCTGCTGAAGAGTGCCAGGCCCACAGCAGGCACTCAATAAATTTAAGCCATTATTGGAATCCTTGGTGTGCCTCAGGCTCCCTGACACTTCGCTGTGTGAGGCAGGTATTACTCCAGATCCTTCAGTTTGGAATACGGTGTATTTGAGGAACAGCAGGGAATGGTATGGTGGGAGTATAAGAGTGAGGGTGTGTAGGGGAGATGAGTTCAGAAAGGTGGGAGGGAAGGTTAGTCATTGCCAGGTCTGGAGTTCTTTTTTTTTTTTTTTTTTTTTAGACAGAGTCTCGCTCTGTCGCCCAGGCTGGAGTGCAGTGGCCCAATCTCAGCTCACTGCAAGCTTCGCCTCCCAGGTTCACGCCATTCTCCTGCCTCAGCCTCCAGAGCAACTGGGATTACAGGCGCTCGCCACCACCACGCCCGGCTAATGTTTTGTATTTTTTTTTAGTAGAGACGGGGTTTCACCACGTTAGCCAGGATGGTCTCGATCTCCTGACCTCGTGATCTTCCTGCCTCGGCCTCCCAAAGTGTTGGGTTTACAGGAGTGAACCACCACACCCGGCCTTTTTTTTTGTTTTTTGAGACAGGATCTCGCTCTGTTGCTCTGTCCAAGATGGAGTGTTGGAGTGCAGTGGTGCTATCTCTGCTCACCGCAGCCTCCTTTTCCTGAGCTCAAGCGATCCTCCCACCTCAGCCTCCTGAGTAGGTGGGACTACAAGGGCATGCCACCAGCCCAGCTAATTTTATTTTAGTTTTTTGTAGAGATGGGGTCTCCCTATGTTGCCCAGGCTGGTCTTGAACTGGACACAAGCCATCTTCCTGCCTTAGCCTCCCAAAAGTTCTGGGATTACAGGCGTGAGCCACTGCACCTGGGCGATTTTTTCAACAACAAATAATTTTTTTTTTTGAGATGGTGTTTCGCTCTTGTTGCCCAGGCTGGAGTGCAGTGGCACCATCTCAGCTCACCACAACCTCTGCCTCCTGGGTTCAAGCGATTCTCCTGCCTTGGCCTCCCAAGTAGCTGGGATTACAGCCATGAGCCACCACGCCTGGCTAATTTTGTATTTTTAGTAGAGACAGGGTTTTTCCATGATGGTCAGGCTGGTCTCAAACTCCCAACCTCAGATGATCCGCCCGCCTCAGCCTCCCAAAAAAAGTTCTGGGATTACAGGCATGAGCCACCGCACCCAGCCCTTCAACAACAAATAATTTTTGAGAGTGCACTTGCGCCAAGCATAGTTCTAGGCACAGACCGACACAACCCTCAGAGTTCCCAGGAGAGTAAGAGGCTACCTATAGATGGGAAATAAGTAACTCAAGATTGGGTAGGTGCTACTAAAACAAAATCAGGCCGGGTGCGGTGGCTCACGCCATTGCACTCCAACCTGGGCAACAAGAGTAAAACTCTGTGTCAAAAAAAAAAAAAAAAAATTAGCCAGGCGTGGTGGCGCGTGCCTGTAACCCCAGTTACTTGGAAGGCTAAGGCAGAATTGCTGGAACTGGGAGGTAGAGGCTGCAGTGAGCCAAGATCATGCCACTACACTCCATTCTAGGTGACAGAGCAAGATTCCATCTCAAAAAAAAAAAAAAAATCAAACAAGTTGTGGTGGGGTGGTGACCCACCTGGATGTGTTGAGCTAGGAAGGGCAGGGAAGACCTCTCTGAGAAGGGGATATTAGGATTGGTGAAGCTATTGGGGAAAATGTCCACTGGGCAGATTTAACAGTAAGGGCAAAGGCCCTGGGGTGAGAAGGAGCCAGGGTCAAGGGAGCCCAGCTGAGTGAAGGAGAGAGTGGGAGACGGAACTGAGAAAGTTGTCTGCAGTGAGAGTCAGTCAGTCCTTGCAGGTCTTGGTGGAGTTGGGGTTTTATTCTGAGTGTGTCAAGAAGTCACTGGAGGCCGGGCGTGGCGGCTCACACCTGTAATCCCAGTGCTTTGGGAGGCTGAGATGGGAGGATCGCTTGATTCCAGGAGTTCAAGACCAGCCTGGGCTACATGGCACAACCCCGTCTCTACAAAAAACACAAAAATTAGGTGTGGTAGCATGTGCCTGTAGTCCCAGCTACTTGGGAGGCTGAGACTGAGGTGGGAGAATTGCTTGAGCCCATGAGGTGGAGCTTGCAGTGAGCTGTGATTGTACCACTGCATTCCAGCCTGGGCGCCAGAGCTGGAGACCCTGTCTCAAAAAAAAAAAAAAAAGAAAAGGCACTGGAGGTTTCAAGGAGGAAGACATGATTCAACTGCCATCATACTGGGATGCAGACCTGGTTGCTTACCTTTTATTTTTATTTTTTACAAGTCCACAGTGAGCCGGGCGCGGTGGCTCAAGCCTGTAATCCCAGCACTTTGGGAGGCCGAGACGGGTGGATCACGAGGTCAGGAGATCGAGACCATCCTGGCTAACACGGTGAAACCCCATCTCTACTAAAAAAATACAAAAAATTAGCCGGGTGAGGTGGCGGGCGCCTGTAGTCCCAGCTACTCGGGAGGCTGAGGCAGGAGAATGGCGTGAACCCGGGAGGTGGAGCTTGCAGGGCCACTGCACTCCAGCCTGGGCGACAGAGCCAGACTTGTCTCAAAAAAAAAAAAAAAAAAAAAAAACAAGTCCACAGTGAATATCATACCTGGTTGCTTTTTTTTTTTTTGAGATGGAGTCTCGCTGTGTCATTCAGGCTGGAGTGCAGTGGCATGATCTCAGCTCACTGCAACCTGTGCCTCCTGCATTCAAGTGATTCTCCTGCCTCAGCCTCCCAAGTAGCTGGGAATATAGGTGTGTGCCACCATGCCTCCAAAAATACAAAAAAGTAATTTTTTGTATTTTTAGTAGAGACGGGGTTTCACCGTGTTGGCCGGGCTGGTCTCAAACTCCTCGCCTCAGGCAATCCGCCTGCCTCAGCCTCCCAAAGTACTAGAATTACAGGCCTGAGCCACTGCGTTCAGCCTGTACCTGGTTGCTTTCTTTTGATCCTCTGGGCTACCTCCTTCCTCTTTCTCTGGATTGGCACCCACCTGTTCAGGTTATCCCTCCACTTTCTGACGACGACACCTTCAGGTTGAGAAATCTGGCTTTGACCCAGAAACCACAAGCAAAATCCCCATCCTTTCTCCGCCCGTGGACTATACCCAGGTGTGGTTCCTCCTCACAACCCTTCCAGAAAAGTCCCTAATGCTGTGTAAGCTCACTTGCTTCATCTTTTCAAAGACCATTGTAAAGGCACAGCCAGTACAGGGAGGTATCACATTACGGCTTCCTTCACCTCCTTTCTCCTCTCCCATATCTCAGCAGCCTGGGTTTGCACCTCCCTAATAAAGCATCAGCACAGGTCAGGCACAGTAGCTCATGCCTTTAATCCCAGCACTTTGGGAGGCTGAGGCAGGCAGGTCACTTGAGGTCAGGAGTTCGAGAACAGCCTGGCCAACATGGTGAAACTGTCTGTATTAAAACAAAATACAAAAATTAGCTGGGCATGGTGGCGAGCCCCTGTAGTCACTGCTATTCGGGAGGCTGAGGCAGAACTGCCTGAACCCAGGAGTGGAGGTTGCAGTGAGCCAAGATCCTGTCATTGCACTCCAGCCTGGGTGACAGAGTGAGACTCCCATCTAAAAAAAAGAAAAAAAAAAAAAAACCATTACCACTGTAACTCTAATCTGGGCTCTGGGCTCTGCTTCCTAGCCAACTCTCCTAAAGGGGTCTTTTAGTACTGGGGAGTCTTTGGGCATTTTCTTGCCCCTCTGGACTCAGGAGCACAGTGACACCTACTCCATGTGACTCAGTTTCTCCCTCCTGTGCCCACCCACGTGGCTGGTGAGTCTAACAAGCAACATTTATAATAGTGAAGGATAAGGCTCTGGAAGCCATTTCAGTCTAGCTCCCTGGTCCTTGCTCTTCCTAGCTTAATTAACCTCTGAATTAAGCAACTTGGCCTCTCTGAACTTCAGGTTCCTCCTGTATAAAAAGTGGTAGTAGTACTTACTTCTATATAATTATGAAATATTTATATAGAGTGGCTAAAACACTCTATATAAAGTGGCAAATAAAGTGGCTAGAACAAGCACTCTATTTTTTTCTGAGGCTGGAGTGCAGTGGGTGCAATCATGGCTTACTGAAGCCTCAACCTCCCAGACTCAGGCAACCCTCCCAACTCAGCCTCCCCAGTAACTGGGACTACAGCTGCATGCCACCATGCCTAGCTCCTTTTCGTATTTTTTGTAGAGGCAGTATTTTGCCACATTTCCCAGGCTGGCCTCGAATTCCTGGCCTCAAGTGGATCCTCCCAAAGTGCTAGGATTACAAGTGGGAGCTAGAGCACTTGGCCAACAAGCACTCAATAAACGTCATGTACAATGATACATCTACCCCAACTAAAGTGGTGCTGATGTTTAGGAACTTACCGGGCCCCTCCCACTGACCCAGTGAAGTTTAGAAACATAAGACAACATCACTCCTTCCAAAATACTTTTATTTAAAAAAATTACAAACAATCCAAAAAAAAAAAAAGTCACCACAAACTCTGCCTTTCTTTTAAATAACGTGGCATGGAGCAGTTTGGTTTCCACCCTATTGCACGTGGTCCGGCCTGGTTATGAAATCAGGAGGCTGCTGAGACTGGGGTCCTGCCAAGGAAGTGGGGTTCAGCCTGGAGGGAGGAGACCAGCCCCTCCCACCCCCTCAAGGTGCAAGAGGCAGAGCCTGGGTTTCTATAGCAACCTGGCAGCACATCCCTGTCATCCTTCGACAGGCCCAGTTTTCTTTTATCTTCCCTGAGGCCCCAGTGGTCACAGGGGAGTGGGAACTAGCGGGAAAGGTGGAAGAAATGTTTAAGTGGAAAATCAGACTCCCAGAAACAGAGTCTCGTTAAGGCATTTGGAATAGATAAATTAATTCAGGAAGACCCACCTTCACAGAAGGTTGGGGTAACCAGACACACACACACATGCAAGACGGTTTGTGGAACCCTGAAATGGGAACAAAGGAGGCCATAGTCGCTGCTTAGAGCCCCCACAAAAACACACACCCAGAGTTGCATTCAGGGATCCAGGCCACAGAAGATGACACAAGAGAGGATCCCCTCCATCACAGTTTTAGGACCCCAGAATTATTTCCATGATGTGATCCAGTTCATTCCACTCCCAGGAACCTGGGGCACAGAAGAGGTTGTGAGGAGGCTCTGGTGGGGCCCGCGCCGGCTCCTTTTCTACCGCAGATGTGTCAATGTCCAGAAAGAAGTCATCCAGGCCAGAGTCCCCCAAGTACCGGGAGCTCAGCGCCTCTAAGAAGACTGGATCAGGCTGGGGTGGCACTTCATTCTGGAGGCCGAGGGGAGCCACTGGATTCTGAGGGGGCTCAGTCTCATCCATGGAGGTGTCCAGCTCCCTGAGGATAGAGCCAATGGTGGCTGACAAGGAGAAATCCTCCTCGCCCAGGAAGAGGGGCTCGGGGGGCAGGGCAGGGGCTGGAGCCAGGCGAAGTGCAGCCTGCAGCTGCTGGAGGGTGTTATGGATGAGGACATGCCTGCGGAGGCTGGGTGCTCGGGGGCCCAGGCTGCGCTGGACTTTGTCTAGGGAGATGCGGAGCAGGGCTTGCTGGTAGCTCTGAAGGCCTGCTGGACTCCACTCCCACCTCTCCTCCTCCTCTTCCAAATCAGAGTGTTTCCTCTTCAAGCCTCCCACCATGATGCCCTGTAGAGAGAAGAGGGGCATAGGGGCATGTCAGACACCAGACACCGTAGTGCTGGCTCAAATCCCACTTTTTCAGGCCTATTGAGTTGTTGGTGATTTTTAATCATCTGAATCTCAGTTTACTCATCTATAAAATGAAGGCTGGCTGAATCCTACAAGGTTAAGGAGGTGAATACATATGTGATTAAGAAAATACGATCTGGGCCGGGCGCGGTGGCTCAAGCCTGTAATCCCAGCACTTTGGGAGGCCGAGACGGGCGGATCACGAGGTCAGGAGATCGAGACCATCCTGGCTAACACGGTGAAACCCCGTCTCTACTAAAAAATACAAAAAACTAGCCGGGCGAGGTGGCGGCGCCTGTAGTCCCAGCTACTCGGGAGGCTGAGGCAGGAGAATGGCCGGAACCCGGGAGGCGGAGCTTGCAGTGAGCCGAGATCCGGCCACTGCACTCCAGCCTGGGCGATAGAGCGAGACTCCGTCTCAAAAAAAAAAAAAAAAAAAAAAAGAAAATACGATCTGGACTTAAGTACAGCTAGATTTAAATCCCACTTACTTGCCTATTGTGGCCTCACACAGTGAATTTACATCCATGAGAATCAATTTCCTCATCTGCCAAATACGGATCCTAACAAGTTCCTCTGAGCCTTAAAACTGTTCTTCCACAATATTAATTTCTTCAAACATGGAGCACGAAAGACAGGTGTGGAGCAGAGAGACCTGGAAGTAGGGAACCCCAAATTTGATTTCTGTATTGGAAACTGCTCAGCTGCGTGATCGTGGGAAGTGACCTGAGTCAATAATTCTCAGGCCTCAGTTTCCTCATCTGTAAAATGGGGACTGTAAAAAAAATACTTCTCACCACCTCTGTCCAAGGAGATGCCAAGTATCTATAGGGCCCACCACACAGGAAGTGCTTAATGAACCAGAGTTGTGTTTGTTTTTTTTGTTAGAGACAGGGTCTCGCTCTGTCGCCCGGGGCTGAGTGCAGCAGCGCTACCACAGCTCACTGAAGTCTCGAAGTCCCGGGCTCAAGCGATCCTCCCGCCTCAGCTCCTGAGTAGCTGATTACTCCTGAGTAGGGATTACTACCACACCCGGCCTCGATCAAGAGTTAATTGCCAGTTATACGCTCAACAGATTTACTGAGTGCCTACTATATTCGAACCTCCTGGAGCCCTGCTGGGGCACCTATGTTAAGATTCTTCTTTCACAGTCAGGATATTTCTATGTCCTCTTCCTTAACCAACTGGGAGCGCTCCCAAGAGTAGGAAAGGGGCCCGTCTCATTCCCTCTGCCCGCGCTTTCAGATTCCCCCAAAGAGCGCCTCACAGGAAAACTTGCTAGAACTCAGCTCAGACCAAGCCCCGCCCCCTAGGGGGTCCCACCCAATCAGACCTCGGTACTGCAAGGCCCCGCCCCTCCATGAGTCTTTACAGAGCATCCAGGAACGCCCCAATTTGTCCCAGGGGCTTCTGGGAAACCGGGGCCAACAGCCGCCAGGTACACGAACCGACGTCGAGCACGCACTACAATCCCCAGAGGGCTCCGCCCGTCCAGGGGACGAGCCCCCCTCCCCCGACCCCGCTCTCCCTCAGGGCATGCGCACAGTGGCACAAGCGGGTGGGGGAAGGGAACCCGGACGTCCAGCTGCCGGCGCCCGCCGAGCCCCGCCCTCCGCTGCCTCCGGGGCGGTGAGTCTGAGCTCCATGCCCGGAACACCCCTCCCCCACCCCTGACTCCAGCTCTAAATCTGCTTTCTCCCTGTCCCTCCGTGCCTTGAAAGTCCGGGATTCTCCTCCCAAACTGCCCTTGGATCCAGAGACCCAGATCCGAACACATCGCTCAAAGACGACAATGCTGCGATCTAGTTCGCGAGACTACGTATCCTAATTTTGATACTTCCTCCCACTTCCCCTATTCTCCTGACTTTCAAACGCCCCTGGACTACACCTCCAAACTCGCTGCCCGGCTCCAAGACCCGAACATTGAACTCTTCCCGGCATCCTCCCTTCCCCCGCCAGTGCGTCTTGGAGTCCAAGAATCCTTGACCCTAGCTCTCTCGCTTCTCCAAATACTCAGGATCTCACCTCTCACACCTTTTCCAGAACACGATAAAGCCCCGAATTCAACCCGTCCGGAAGACCCAAGTGGAATCGAATCTCCAGGTTCCCTGTCTCAAAAGTTCCTTCCCTCTGTTCTCTCGCTTCTCCAAACGCCCCACGCCCCACGTCCCAGCTTCAAACTCCCTCCACTTGAAAATACTGCCCCAACAACCTCGCATCCCCTCCTGGGTCTCGAACTCAGTCTCGGGCCCCCAGACCCTCCCTATCATCACCCTGAATCTGTGGCCCCCTCCCCCGGTCTCACCCAGACCCCGCCTCCGCAAGTCTCCGGGGCGCGCCTCTCCCTCCTCCAGCCTAAGGTAAATTCCCTAGCCAGGCGACCACTCCTCACCCCAGCTGCCAGGTTCGCCACGACCACCTCCTGGAACGCCCACAGCGTCGCGACCCGCCAGTGCCGGGACCCACCAGTGACCGGCCGGGGCCTCGCTCACCTCGGCAGGGCCTCTCCGTCTGGCTTCGGGCCCACCCAGCCCCGCCCCGGAGCCGAGCCACGAGCCGCGATTGGCTGGAGTCCCGCCCGCCGCGGGGCGTCGATTGGCTGGGCGGAGCCATCCACCCGTGCCCGGAGACGCCGGACCCGCCCACCCCTCCCTAGCGCCCCGGGCCATTTAAAGGAGTGCAACTGGCAGGGGGCGGGGCAGCGCCTCCAGGGGTGGAGGGCGGCTGGTCCAAGAGAACCGCTTCCTTCCACTGGGCTACGGTCCTCGCTCCAAGATCGTCACCACTACTCCCTGCAGTCTCTTTTTGCCAGGCCTGGACCCCATCGCGGAGCCAGAGGGGCTGGCATACCCTCTGGCTCCGGGAGGTCCAGGCAGGCGGGGCCGAACAACCGGAGGAGGCCGCGCCCCCGGGGTTCCGAGGGCGGACGCCCGGGCGGGGGATGACGTACCGAAAGACCAGCCAATAGTGTGACGCGGCCCGCGTTGCCTAGGCGATCGCAGCCCCGCCCCCTTGCTGCCCTTCTCCCGCCCCCCGTACGTTACCCCGCGGCCCCTTCTTAATCCTCGAGTTTTCTCAACGCGTCCTCTAGTGGTCCTACCTGGGTCTCCTGACACCTCTCTCCTTCCCCGCTCCAACAAGATGACTCCTCCGCTGCTGTTCATGGCTTCCTACCCCTCCCCCCCGAAGACAAACTTCAAACCCCTTCCTTTTGCCACAAAGGCCCTGACGACCTTGCCTGATGCGCTCTCCTGGTTCTCTCCGATCCTGCCCCATTGAGTCACTTCCAGTTTTTCTAAAATGGCTTCAAGCTCCCATTCCCCCATCACGAAAACGAAAGGATTTTGTCTGTTTGTTTTCTTCCCTGCCTTACCCCAGTGTCTACAATGCCAGGTACATAAGTTCTCAAACATGACAATAAAAGGCCTCTGGATCTTTATTATTTATTATTATTATTATTATTTTTTTTTTTTTTGAGACGGAATCTTGCTCTGTCACCCAGGCTGGAGTGCAGTGGCGCAACCTCGGCTCACTGCAAGCTCCGCCTTCCGGGTTCACGCCATTCTCCTGCCTCAGCCTCCCGAGTAGCTGGGACTACAGGCGCCCGCCACCACGCCCGCCTATTTTTTTTGTATTTTTAGTAGAGATGGGGTTTCACCATGTTAGCCAGGATGGTCTCGATCTCTTCACCTCGTGGTCCGCCCACCTCGGCCTCCCAAAGTGCTGGGATTACAGATGTGAGCCACCGCGCCCGGCCTGGATCTTTATTATTAATAATATTATTTTTTGCCGGGCGCAGTGGCTCATACCTGTAATCCCAGCAGTTTGGAAGGCCGAGGCGGGCAGATCACGTGAGGTCAGGAGTTTGAGACCAGCCTGGCCCACAATGGTGAAACCCCGTCTCTACTAAAATACAAAAAGTAGCCGGGCGTGGTGGCGCAGCCTTGTAATCTCAGCTACTCGCGGGGCTGAGGCAGGAGAATCGCTTGAACCTGGGAGGTGGAGGTTTCAGTGGAGCCGAGATCGTGCCACTACACTCCAGCCTGGGCAACAGAGCTAGACTCCATCTCAAAGAAAAAAAAAAAATATATATATATATATATACACACACACACACACACACACACACACACTTTTTAAAATACAGATGGGGGAGGCAGTGGGGGTTTCCTTGTGTTGACCAGGTTGGTTTTGAACTCCTGGCCTCAAGCAATCCTCTCGCCTCTGGATATTTAAACTTGTTTCCTCATCCTGAAAATATACCCTCAATTCCCAGGCTGCTTCTCAGAACTTATCTCAAAGGTTTCCTCCTCTCAGAAGCCCTCCCTGGCAGTCCAGGTTGAGTTAGGATCTATTCTAGGATTCCATGGCCTCCTGTGCCACCATCCCAGTCCTGGACTGTCAGTTACTTTATGGACTGAGGAACCCCCCACCGAGGGCAGGTACTAAGGATATATCTGTCAACCACCGCTTGGTCTGCAGAATCACATAGCACAGGGCTGAACACGTAGCAGGTCCCAGTGAAAGTTTGCTACGTGCTCAGGAATGTGACAGAAAAATAAGGCAGAAAGAAGACACTCCTAGTGTCCTGAAAGCCCTCACCCGTAATGCCCCACCCCTACAATGAGTTTCCCTAAGGGGAGGAGGCAGTTTTCTCCAGGCCACCTCTGGGAAGGGAGGTTTAAGCCTCCTCAGACCAGTTCTTGCCGGTTGGAGTTTGTCAACCAAGTCATCCTGCTGTTTGCAATGTAAGACGAAAGGATTTCACGGGGGGGAGGGGATAAAGGGGAGGGGAATAGGTAGGTGGGTGGTGTGGGTTGGAGGTAGGGAGAGAGAAGCGTCTCAGCTCACTCAGGCCTGGGGAAGGTGTCCCTGGGAACAAAAGAACCGGACAGTTGATTCCAAAAAAGGACATAATTAGGAAGAAGCAATTCTTCCGCTTCCTCCTCTAAAACCTGCTCCTCCTATAGGGTCCCCAAATCAGGAAAGCCCTACTGCATTTGGGTTTTTGTTTTAGAGACGGGGTCCCACTCTGTCGTGGATGCTGGAGTGCAGTGGCGCACCTCGGCTCACTGCAGCCTCAGCCTTCCTCCTGAAGCACTATTGTAACTCTGTCTGCAGGTTACAGCCCAGTGCTTCTTCCTGATGTCTCCCCTCCACCCCTCACCAACTGTCCACACAGGGTCCCAGGCATTCCTCCCACCCTCTCTCTCCTCCCCTCCTTACGGCTCCTCCTCCAACTCCAACTCCCTCTGGGCTATCAGCCTCCATTCCTGTGCCCTTCCTATCCACCTTCACAGAGTAGCCAAAGGAAGCTTCATAAGACACACACCCAACTGTCCCCCTGCCTTACCTCTCTGATGCTCCACTCCTTGCATAAATCCTCAAAATAAAGCACAAACTTTTTTTATTTTTGGAGACAGAGTCTCGATCTGTCCTATAGGCTGGAGTGCAGTGGCCAGGCCTTGACCTCCTGGCCTCAAGCCATCCTCCTGCCTCAGCCTCCTGAGTATCTGGGACTACAAGTACATACCACCATACCCAGCTAAATTTTTTAAAATAATTTTGTAGAGATGGGGTCTTACTATGCTGCCCAACCTGGACTCCTGGCTTCAAGCCATCCTCCCACCTCAGCCTCCTGAATATCTGGGACTACAGGTGCACACGACCCTGCCCAGCTAAGTTATTATTATTACCGAGATGGAGTCTTGCTCTGTCACACGGGCTGGAGTGCAGTGGCGCGATCTCAGCTCACTGCAACCTCCACCTCCCGGGTTCAAGCAGTTCTCCTGCCTCCACCTCCCAAGTAGCTGGGATTACAGGTGTGCATCACCACGCCCGGGTAATTTTTGTATTTTTAGTAGAGACAGGGTTTCACCATGTTGGCCAGGCTGGTCTTGAACTCCTGACCTCAAGTGACCCACCCACCTCGGCCTCCCAATGTGCTGGGATTCCAAGCGTGAGCCACCATGCCCAGCCAGACTCAATAAGCTGTTACTGAACAAATGAATGAATGCATACTAAGCAAATCTTACACAGAGGCAGGCAGACACACCAAAATAGACAGAGGCAGAGAGAGGAGTCACAGAGTCGGTTTCTCTAGAATAATTTGAAGCTCTTGGCTCAACATTTATTGCCCCTTTCCTCTGTTCCTCATGTCCCAGAATGCCACCCTCCCAGATGGGGACAGAGTGCTACTGGTACTGGTGGGAGGGGTAGGTGCTGTGGCCGTCGTACTCATCAGTGGTGAGACAGTGCAGCATGAAGTGGCCCAGGTCATGTTTGGAGATGACCCTCGAGGGCCCTCGTCCATCCAGGGTTACTGTGTACGCCCCAGTTAGCGGCTGGTCTCCTGTGAAGTAAAGACAGAAGGGCTGGGTGAAGCAGTCACCTTTCCCCTCTCCCAAAATTTGACCCCCAGAAAGACCTTCCCAGGGTGCCTACTGTGTGCCCAGCCTGGGTGGTGTCACAGCCAAGAATGGACTTCCGGTATGCAGGTGCTCATCTATATCCTTTGCTTCATTCATTCAAGAAATCCTTATTGATTACCTATTATGTGGCCAGGTGCTGGGCACCCAAGCAAGGGACAAAGCAGACAGGAATCCCCTGCCCTGGCCAGTGGCGGTGGCTCATGCCCATCATCCCGGCACTTTGGGAGGCTGAGACAGGAGTTTGAAACTAGCCTGGGCAACACAGGGAGACCTTGAGTCCACTAAAAATACAAAAATCAGCCGGGTGCAGTGGCGGGCCTCTGTAGTCCCAACTACTCAGGAGGCTGAGGCTGGAGAATTGCTTGAGCCAGGGAAGCTGAAGCTGCAGGGAGCCATGATCGTGACACTGCACTCCAGCCTGGGCGACAGAGCAAGACCTTGTCTCTAACAACAACAACAACAACAACAAATTATCTGACAGTAACCAACTAAACTTAGGGATAAAATGTACCATCACCCAAGCAGAGACAGGCTGGAATTATGCACAGTATGGAACACACACCCTTGACTGTGTGTTTGCTTGGGACAAAGCGGACGGGAATCGCCTGCCCTGGCTGGGCACGGTGGCTCACGTCTGTAATCTCAGCACTTTGGGAGGCCAAGGTGGGAGCATCACTTGAGCTCAGGAGTTTGAGACCAGCCAACATGGCCAAACCACATCTCTACAAAAAATGCAAAAATTAGCTGAGTGTGGTAGCTTATGCCTGTAGTCCCAGCTATTTGGGCAACTGAGGTAGGAGAATCACTTGAGCCCAGGAGGCGGAGGTTGCAGTGAGCCAAGATTGTGCCACTGCACTCCAGCCTGGGCAACAGAGGGAGACCCGTCTCAAAAAAAAAAAGAAAAAAAAAAAGGAACACACACCCTCACCCCACGCGGCATTCCTGCCCAACATGTTTAATCTGAATCTGTGGCAAAACCGCTAGAAAATTCCAGAATGTGGGCCTTTTAAAGTTACCTGGCCTGGTTAATGTTATGAGAAACTTAAAGAAAAAGGGCAGGGTAGGTTGAAAAAAAATTTTCTGTTTTTTTGATACAGAGTCTTGCTCTGTCACCCAGGCTGGAATGCAGTGGCACAATCTCAGCTCACTGCAACCTCTGCCTCCCAGGTTCAAGCAATTCTTGTGCCTCGGTCTCCTGAGTATCTGGGATTACAGGTGTCCGCCACCACACCTGGCTAATTTTTGTATTTTTAGTAGAGACAGGGGTCTCACCATGTTGGCCAGGCTGGTCTCGAACTCCTGACCTCAACTGATCCGCCCACCTTGGCCTCCCAAAGTGCTGGGATTACATATGTGAGCCACTGTGCCGGCCTGACAGTTGAGGAAATTTTACTATGGAGTGGATACTAAATGATATGACAGTAAATGTCACTTTCCTTAGGTGTGATC